TCAAAGAGCTTTCTCCTGCCTCTGCCTCCTAATTGCTGACATTACAGGTGTTGTACCACCATGCCTATGTTGAATGGCTGTTTTAAAAGTGTGGACATATTCTTCGATATCACTAAGTGATGCCTTCCCTTCATTCAAGGCTTGGAAAGATGCTCCTCGTTGAGAAATAAAATTCAATTAGTTGAACTTAAGGTCCTCCTACTTCTACTGCTCAAGTGCTGGGATTATAAACATGCAGCACCAGGAGTGGTTTGTTCAGTACTGGAGGTGGAAGTCAGGGCAAGCAATCCATCAACCGAGTTACCTACAAAACTTCTACTTTCGTTGTTGTTTTTCAATAAAAGTTCTCACTGTGTAGCTGGCCTGGAAATCACAATTTATACCAGCCTGGCCTCAAACTCACAGTGAGCCACCTGCTTCTTGCCTCCTAAAACATTTTAAACATTTTATGGTTATTTTGCCTGGGTGTTGTGCATGCAGAAGCCAGAAAAGGGCCGGGGATCCCTTGGAACTGGAGTTACGACAGTTGTGAGCTGGCATGTGGGTGCTGGGAATTGAGTTCTGGTCCCCTGGAAGAGCAACCAATGCTCTTAACTGCAGAGCCATTTCTCAGCTTCCCCCAAGCCCCACATTTTATATTAACTCTTACTCTTGTGGAAATAATCTGTATATAGTAAGAGGTTACACTCACATCTCCTTTAAAGTGTTAGCTCTCCTATTGTAACTTAGATAACCCTGTCTGTCTCTGCTGGTTGTTTAGTGTCAGTGTTCTTATACACTTACCCCCCCCCCCACACACACACACTACATTTATTCTCCCTACTTTCTATAATTGGTATGCTTTTTGTATACTGGACTATAATAATTAAAATTATAACTTTTATATTTTTAATTTTTTTATTTTTCAGATACTTATAAATTCAAACAGTTGCAAAAGTAGCAGGAAGAGGTCCCATGTTCCCTTTACCCAGTTTATTTAGTGGTAGCATCTTACATTAGGTAGTATCAACACCAAAAATTGACATTGGTCTAGTGACTGTACAGACATATGCCCATCATGCACTTGTAGCAGCTCCATCTGAATAGTACATAAGATCCTTCCACCACAGAGACCCCTTCCTGATGCCCTTTTGGGTCACACCTGTTCTCCTTGTTCTTTTACCCCTAAGAGAGTCACACAGAATGTGAAACTTTCGGGTTGCCATTTTTTACTCACCATATTTTGGGTTTTTGTTTTTTTTTTTTTGTTTGTTTTGTTTTGTTTTCTATGGTGCTGGAGATGGAACCTGGGGCCTTTGGTATGCTAGGCCACTGCTCTGTTACTGAGCTACACTCCAGTCCAGAATCAATTTTTTATTATTATTATTTTACGTAATATCCAAACTGATTCTTAAGATGACCCACTTCAGAACTACACATTGCCTTTGTTTATGAGCTACTTATATAAGAATTCCCTCCTTTTTAAATTTTAAAGTGTATGTGTGTATCAGATTATGGATTTGTATGTGAATGCAGTACCCACAGAGGTCAGAGAGGGCAGTTGTGAGCCACCCAATATGAATGCTCAGAAATGACTTCCATCTTCTGGAAGAACAATACAAGCTCTTAACCACTGAGCGCCATCTCTCCAACTCCTTTTATGTTTTTTGGTTGTGAAGAAATTGTGTCATTTCAGGGCATAGAACTTTCGACATTCTAGAATAGGCTGGTTGTAAATTTGTGGTGGGCTAATCTCTTTGTGTATATTTGTAGAATTTTCAATGTAAAAATGCCTTAAACATACAGATTCAGTATGTATGACATAACACACCCCATCTACCAGCTGCCACAATGCTGTTTTTTCTTTTCACAGGGTCTTAGTATGTAGCTCAAGCTGCCTGGAACACATGACCCTCCTGCCTCAGCCTTCTGAATTCTGGGATTACAGGAGTACTCTATAATTGAGTCAAACTTCTTGACTCCACCATTTACCCCTTGGTCTCACTATTACTGTATAACTAACTCCAAACCTCAGCAGCTCAAACCAACCACTTTTTCACTGTTGTGAGTGAGAAACTCAGGACAGGCTTGCCTAGACGGTTCCCCCTGGAGCCTCAGAAGGTGGTGCAGTGGATGGTTTCTGGGCTGTGCCCTCTGAAGACTTATCTGGCCTGCAAGTTCTGCTGGCAGCAACAGGCTGTGAAGACTCAAAGGCCAGATCCTATAATTACATGTTCACTCAAAGGTCCACTCCAGGGCTAGAAGGGCACAGACACCAGGATGGCTAACTATGGTCCATCCCAGAGCCTCACAGCCCCACAATTGGGCAATCATAAGTCAGTTTTGCTTTGTTTTGTGTTTTGCCTGCTTGTATGTATGTATGTATGTGTACCATGTCTGGTGCTCACAGAGGTCAGAAGGCATTGGCTCCCCTGAAACTGGACTTACAAATGGTTGTTGGGAATTAAACCCAAGTCCTCTTGCAAGACCAGCAAATGTTCTTAACTTCTAAGACAACTCTCCAGCCCCAAGGTATCATATAGCTCATGCTGGACTTGAACATTCCATATAATGACAGGTTCCCTTAAACTCATGCTCCTCCTGTCTCAAGTGTTAAGAAAGATTACTTGCATATGCTCCCACACCTGCTTTTATATAGTGCTGGAAAGGAAAGCCAGGCCTTTGTGCTTTGTGCAGAGTAGACCCTCTACCAACTGAACTATATCCTTAGTCCTCTCCCTTTCTGAAAACACGGGGTTTCGCTATATTGACCAAGTTGGGCTTCCATGATTCTCCTGCTTCAGTCTCCTGAGCAGCTGCCATGACAACCCCATGCCCAACCTGTTCACAGATTTACAATCATTTCCAAATGGACATGACATTTCATGCCTGTAATCCCAGTACTTGGGGAGCTGAAGCAAAAAGGCTGTTGAGTTCAAGGCATTTCATATAAAGGAAGTCATAATGTATATGCACATTTACATCTGACATCATGTTTTGAGGTCTTCCAGCAACACATGCGTGAGTGGCTTGTCCCTTGTAACTGCTGAACTTGCTCCGTCATCTTTTCTCGACACCATCCTCACTAGGGTTTGTCTTCACGTCCACCTGCTTTTCCTCCGGAAGTGAAGCTGTGTGACAGGTGTCACTGGTGGCTTCCATATGGATAGTTCCTCGCTGGCAAAGGTCTTGTCTAGTCTGATATCTTAACGCTCCTCCAGCATTTCATAACTTGTAGGGCTGAACCCATCTTAGAGAGGCTGGGCTGGGAAAGCCTACCTCAAAAAGATTTCCTTGCCAACAGCAAAGCCAGGTCCACAGTCTCTTAAGTGCCAGTGTGTGTCTGTGATGCCTTGGCACTGTGAAGGAAGATGTCCCTGACACTGACAGTGATGCCACGGAGCACGAGGAGCCCTTGATACCAAGGCCACACTGCTGAGCAAACACAGTTGATGCCATTGCCCACCCTTAGTGATTAAAATCTTCTTTAGCTGGCTTTTCTGTGTTTAGCTAAAAGCACCCTGAGGGACAGACATGATTTAAACCTCCACCCTAGGCATACCCCTTTGCTGTAGCCCTTCTTTCCTCAAATGAAGGGGTTACTAAGTTTCCAGATCAGACCTCCTTGAATCCCAGCACCTGAATTTCAAGCTGCCTCCTGCTGTGTAGCATTTGTAGGTCCCAGGGAGCCTCAGTCTGAACCACCGAGCACTGCTCCTGCTTGTTCCAGGCCAGTCCTCTCTCATCTGACTAAATACCCAGCCCAGATCTTCCCCTGCATCTCATCAGAGAGTAGGTTCTACACTTTCTACCTCCAGTCTTTCTGAATGTCTACTTCGGCTGCTTCTCTCGTTCCCAGCAGATTACAGCAATGAGCATGATGTGGGTCCCCCTAGTGTTCTGTTTGTCATACTGGTGTCCATTCTGGAAGTAAAAAGACCTTTCCAATGCACACAGCTCCTAATACTTTCCTTGTCTTCAATACTTAACAATTCTATCTCCAATGATCTGGGTGATACAATGATGGAAGATCTGTATTTGCGCTTTGTCTTGGTTTTGTGGTCTCATCGCTAACAATTCCACACTGAGGGTGTGGCCACATTGGGCTGGTATAAAATGAATAAATATGCCAAACTGTTTGCCTCAGGGAAAAGTAAAATTGGCAGCAAACTGTCACTCTCTGATATCTGCCAAATGCTATGCTTGGGTTTGTATGAGAAGAAACGCTTTTGTTCCATCCATGATCCTTTCTTCCTCGGAAGCCCTCCCACCTTTTTGCCAGGCTGAGGAAGACCAAACCCTTCTCAGGAGTCATACTCCAGCCTGGACAATCACCCAACATTCTGCTCCAAGCTGTAACATACTGAAGGAATCACAGAGGAAACAGAAGTCACCCAACCCTCCTGCGGGACAATGTCTGAATCATTCAATAAGTTTCTCCTTAATTTTTTTTCCTTCTGAAACAGTCTCCATAATATATATAAGATGCCCTTGAATTCCTGCTATAACCTAGAATGGACTTAAACTAACAAGCTTAGCTGTGCTCTTGTTTATCTTACTGCACCAAAAATCCTGCATATTTACCTGCTGTATCATTAGTCTTAGGAACGGGCCCCATCCCAGATGCCTTGACGTGGCAGGTCTCCTCTGGTCTCCTACCTTCAGAGGAAGAGGAAGGCTTTGAGTGCTTGGATATCCCTGCCCCGAATAGCAGGCTTTCGGCAGGTTGATTCATGACTTCCTTGTCAAGCTGCTTGGTCTCCATTACTTTCTCCTTAGTCTTTACAACAATATTGGTAGGGCTCTTCTTTGGCTCCTCAACTGAAACACACGGATAATCAGTTAGACCTACAACCCAAAGATGCTTGCTCGGAGGGCGGGCCTCGACACCAGGCGGCGCCCTTTACCTTTCTTCTCTCTGGGTTTGCTTTTGGACAGGCCCATAGGTGACCCCGCCACCCCGGGCGGGCGGCCTTGGAGACCCAGTAACCCTAGCGACTCACAAAACCAACACTTCGCTTTGGGAGCTCATTACCATGGCAACCGCGCACCGCGCGAGACGCACCGAAGCCCCACCCAAGGCCCAGCGCCGTCTTCTCGCGAGAGCAGGCCGCGCGACCGGAAACATTAGCGACCCCGGAAGTCCTCCCGGGCACAGCTGGTCCGTAAGATCTCGTCCCCTTCGCCGCCCCGAGGGGTGCACTACCCGACTGGCCATGGACGGTAAGGGGCCGTCACCTACTTTGGGTTCGGAGCGGGATTCTGCGCACACCCTGGTCTCAGCCCCTTAACCCAACCGGACCTGTCCCCGGTCTCAGCCCTAGACCCCGCCCCTGGGCCTGGAACTTGTCTCGACCCTACATCCCGACCAGGACCCGCCTCTTGCCTCAGCTGCAGACTCCGACTAGAACCGACCCTCGGGCCTACACCCCACATACCGACCAGAATCAGTCCCCGGTTCCCGAACCTTTACATCCTAGCTGAAACCCTCTCCTGGGCTTTGATCCCACAGTCCAACAGGAACTACCTCTGGGTTTTTGACTCCAGACCCCAGCCAGAACCTACCCCTGGGTCTTGTTCCTTATCCAGATCTCCCCAGGCCTGAAGCCCAAATCCAGGACCGAACCCCTGATTTTGGTTCAAATGACCTCAGATCCAGGCCCTTCTAGCCAACCTCCCTTTGATTTGTTTCTGCCTTGAGGACCCTGGGGTGTTGTCAGAAGGCACCAGAAAAGGTGGTAGTTGCACCCTTGAATAAATAGCACCCAAAGAAATAGGAATAATTCAGATACAGAGGACTTAAAGTACCGAGTAAGAGGATGTGGGTTCCCTCCTAAAGCTTCATGTCCTATTCTACCCTTACCCTTATAATAGATTGGGAGAGAGCCACCCCTAGTATATAACTCACTAACTCAGTGTTCTGATCTCTAGACTCTCAAATAACTCACGAATGGACATTGCAGGTTTTATGGGCTGCTGTAATAGAGCTTTTGTTTGTATGAGACAGGGTCTCCTTATGTAGCTTTGACTTGCCTGGAAATTACTACACGTACCAGACTGGCCTTGAACTCAGTTATTTACCTATTTCTGCCTCCCCGGGGCTGGGATTGAAGGTATGCACAGCTGTAGTGGAGTTTTTAAAACCTGTTTTCTGAAATGTAGAAAGTTGTGTCATTGTCATGGAGGAAATACATGAGAATTCTATACTGTGTTCCTTGGACAAAAGATGTAGCACCCCAGTGTCTCAACAATATAGAAGTTTTGCATCACAGTTTTACTCTGCTTGTGTGAGGGAACTTTTCTGAAGTTCACATCAGGTTTCTCCAGCTTTTTATTTATTTATTTTTTTTTAGAGTCCAATCCCACTAGAGTCTACATGCAAATACAGGTTGAAAAGGGAGAGATTTGGCCAGTGTCCTAAAGCTAGTGACATGGTTGTGCCTCACCTGGGAGTCACTGTCGGGTGACTTTTGTGTCTGAGAGTACTAGTCAGCTGTGGCAGCTCTGGCCATAACTAGTGCCTGCACTGAGTGGTGGTAGATAGGTAGGTGCACGGAGCTCATTATACCCCAGCAGGCCTCTGCTGGGCCTTGTTTTGCATTAGCAGACCATCAGTGCCTCATTCTGGACTGGTGGGTGAGCCTTTTCAGGCATCATAGCGTAGCACTCTGCAGCTTTAGAAACAGCCAGTTACCTGGTGTGGTGGCTCACAGCTGCAATGCCTTAGGCAGTTGGGACAGAAGGATCAGGAGGAGGTCACAGTGTCCCCATCCTTAGCTACCTAGGGAGTTTGAGGTGAAATCCTGTCTTGAAACATCAAAAACAAATAAACATGAAATTGTGTTTACCTGTCTCAAGTTTGTGAATGAATAGCAGGTTTGGTTAGCAATTAATTTTTTTAAAATACATTTAAATCCCTTCCTTGGCTTAGTACAGGTAGGGACTATGCACTGGGCCTGATGCTGTGGCTTAGAAATGGCATCTGTCATGGAGTAGTAACCTTTTTTCACTAAGGCTTACCACCTTTCAGTTTTATCTACTCACCTCTGGCAGGGTAAAGGAAAGGATACATTGGGGTTGGAGAGATGGCTTGGTGGTTAAGAGCACTGGCTTCTCATCCAGAGGACCTGGGTTCAAGTCCCAGCAACCATATGGCAGCTCACAACTGTCTGTAACTCCAGTTCTAGGAGATCTGTCACCTTCACACCAGTGCACTTTTTTTTTTTTTTTTTTTTTTTTTTAAACCAGGCCAGGCATTGGTGGTGCACGCCTTTAGTCCCAGCACTGGGGAGGCAGAGGCAGGCGGATCACTGTGATTGGAGGCCAGCCTGGGTTACAGAGTGCCAGGATAGGCTCCAAAGCTACACAGAGGAAGCCCTGTCTCAAAAAAAAAAAAAAAAAAAAAAAAAAAAAAAAAAGCCAATAAAGGCATTAAAAAACTGTTAAGTACTAAAGATTGGATTGAGTTTAATACTAAAGGCAAAGAATCCCATGTGTCTTTTGTAAAGTTCAGTGAATTGTAAGCGGTCATGTCCATTCTGACCATGGCTAAGAGCTGCATGTATTACCCTTTGAGATTGGTTAGTACCATTGTGTTCCTGACAAACAAGTTTAGCGAGGGTCTCTGTTAGTTTGGATCCCTTATCTAAAATGGATCTCTCTTCTGACTCCACTGCTGGGCCCAGGCAAATCCCATCCATGTCTGTCTCCTGTGGGCCAGCTCTTAGCATCTTGCTTGATAAATGTGCTACTTGTTCATTTTTTTCTTTTTAATTTTAAGTTATTTCCTCTGTTTTTGCAGATACCCTGTTCCAGTTAAAGGTTTGTACAAAACCACCATTCCCCAGTTCTGTCCTTGCAACTAGCAAATAAGGACAAGAATTACATCGGTGCTTGGAACCTGGACACCCAAAGTCATTGAATGTCTGTTACACAGGGCTCAGACTGCTGACCAAAGCCAGGCTTACTCTTTATTTTTGGCTAAGTAGAAATAGATCACTCAGACTTGTCCATGAAGACTGAGTGTGTTATCTTTAAGAAACACAACTGGGATGATAGGCACATGCCTTGATGTTTTACTAAGTAAGCATTTAAAACCACTGGCTGAAATTTAAACACACTTGGAGAATTTTAGGGGCAACTGAATGTGCCTCCTACTTGGAAGATACTTGAGCCTACGTAATCTTTAGCATATTTTTTGCCACTTTTAATGCCTTACAAGTGACAGTCATAGTTAACTTTATCTTGTTTTTTTTCTCCCTGGCTCCAAGGGTCTGGGCAGTAGTGAGGTTACATGCTGCTGAACATGATGGCTCTGACATAACCTATGACACACTGAGGCTTTCAGGTGGTGGTATGTGGGCAAAGAAGTGAGGAAGCTGTATATGCAGGGTTCTCTGCAGATAGCACTGGATATTCAGTGCTTGAGTACCCCAGGAAAGTTCTCGAGTATCTTCCCTGTGAGTTCTAAGTCTAAGCAGGAGCAGAGTTGGTGAGAGTTGCTTTGGCAGCTTTCCACTCTAGAGGAGGATATGGGTTGGAGTGCTATTAGAGATGATGGACATTCCAGGAACCCTCCTTGCACACGGCCTCAGAATTGATGAACTGTGACTGATGCTGTTGTAGTTCTCACAGCCCCACAGTAGTCATCAGGACTTATATTTTGAGGCTTTGTGCCTTATAGGGCTGGGTGAAGGATATACAGAGCCAGGAGGTACAGGGAACAGGACCTAGAGAGCCTAGAGAATGGGCTCCACCTGTGTGTCTCAGAGTGTACGGTTTCTACTCAGTTCACAGCGAAGCAGCTAGAGAAACTGGCCAAGAAGGCAGAGAAGGACTCCAAGGCTGAGCAGGCCAAAGTGAAGAAGGTGTGTAACTTCTCTGGTTTGGGTTCTTTTCTTCCCCCAACCCCTTTGTTTTACTTTACTTCATTCATGTTATTTTTAAGATGACCCCACTTCAGCCTTGTGGTTGGTAAGATTACAGGTGGGAACCACCACACCCAGCTTTGTTTCCCTCTGTGTTGCTTTTAATATCTTCTTTTTGTTCAAGACACTTCCTACATTGTGACTTAACCTCATTGATTTCAGAGTATTGGTGCATTTGCTTTGATACCTGAGACAGGCAAGCATGAGGGAAGGGCAATAGCCCTCCTTCTTCCCTTCCTGCCCACAGTGGTGTCCAAGCAGTTTCATGGTCTTCACTCCTTCCTTCTTCCTCCAACATCCTCGGTTGGCAAGGTGTGGCCCTCTAGCTGTCCTGCTCCAGTGTCGTCATCTTCAGCAGTTGTCTTTCCTGTGGGGCTGCTGCCTGGAGTATCAGGTCTGGGCAGAGGCATTGATATTAGGAGTCGGGCTCCATAGGGTTGGGCAGAAGTAGATGCTTGCTGGGGTTTTTGCAATAAGAGATCCTCTGCCTAAAGATAAGACAGAGCAGAAAGTAAAGTAGCATGACTGGTCCCAGCAGACCGTCAGCTAAATCTTGTGCAGCTTTTAGTGTTGCTTCAAGGCAGAATAGCTCCAAGGCTGTGGCTATTGGTAATGACACTGTGTTTTTACAAAGCCACACGTGTCTGAGGATTATACCTGGGGAAAAGTGAAAGCCTCCTACCCTCCCCAGTGGTAAACCACACCATGGAGAGATACACAAACTTGCCTACAAATGTTTCTCCATGAACATTTACCTATGAATTTTAGGCCCTTCAGCAGAAAAATGTGGAATGTGCCCGTGTGTATGCTGAAAATGCCATCCGCAAGAAGAACGAAGGTGTAAACTGGCTCCGGATGGCATCCCGTGTGGATGCAGTAGCCTCCAAGGTGCAAACAGCTGTGACCATGAAGGGGGTAAGTGCTAGGCCATGGTGCCATGTGGCCAGCATATATTGTAGGGTATAGAGAGTTGAGGGAAGCTAGCAAAGAACCTAGGCATCAAAGAGTACTAGACACAGGAAGGCCTCAGGAAAGCCTGGATCCCATAGCATCATCCCATAATAGGCTGGAAGTTACATGGACCTTTTGGTTCCACAGCAGAGTTTCCCTTCAAAGTGGAGAGAGCTCCACTGTGTCATCAACTGCATTCAAGTGACTGTGCTGAGACCCTGGGTTCCCATCAGGAAGTTTATAACCTGTCCCTGGTTGGCAGCTCTTGACTATTTTTAACTCTGTTCTTGTCCCTAATCCTCTTTTATCCCAGGTGACCAAGAATATGGCACAGGTGACCAAGGCTCTGGACAAGGCCCTGAGTTCCATGGATCTTCAGAAGGTGTCTGCAGTGATGGACAGGTTTGAGCAGCAGGTGCAGAACCTGGATGTACACACATCGGTAGGTGACCATTGCAGTACAACAGGACAGTGGGTCAGGGTGGCTGGACTGAGCTGCACACAGGAAGGACTTGGAGGAGGAAGGGGATGAGACACCAGCCCTTTCTGGGGAAATCCACAAGCTAGACAAGCACACAGAAGTACAGAAAGGTCCCTGAACCAGGCAGACCCAGCGGTGGGACGGGCTGAATATGGGACAGGAAGGGCCATGGGAGCCAGGAAAAGTTTCCTAGGGAGAACCCGGGGGGGGGGGGGGGAAGCAGAATGGAGAGAGGGAGCGAGCACAGTGGGGGCTAGGGAGATGGCGCAGTGGATGCAGTGCAAGCCTGAGGACTTGTATGTGGGATCCTAGTGCTGGGGGCAAAGACAGATGAATCCCAGGGTTCTGCTGACCAGCCAACCTGACTGAAACGGTAAACACTAGGTTTAGTGAGAGGCTTTTTGAAAGAGGTATTGAGAAGACACTTGATGTTAGCCTCTGGCCTTCACATGAGTACATTCATGTATGCGTGTGTACACTGCACATATCTACAACAAAACAATTGCAGTGTGCTTCATGGTGCCATGGCCATACTGCCCAGAATGAACCTCTCCTCAGGTCATGGAGGATTCTGTGAGCTCTGCCACCACGCTGACCACACCTCAGGAGCAGGTAGACAGCCTCATTGTACAGATTGCCGAGGAAAATGGCTTGGAGGTCTTAGACCAGCTCAGCCAGCTTCCAGAGGGTGCTTCTGCTGTGGGCGAAAGCTCTGTGCGCAGCCAGGAGGACCAGCTGTCTCGAAGGTAGGAATGTCATAGTACTTGCTCTAGTTTTCTATCTTGAGGGCAGGTTGGGAACCCTAAGGACTTTGTGGGCTGGAACCCAACCATGCAAAGACCTATTGCACTTGATAGGACTGTTGGCAAGGCAGAGGGAAGACCTGTTAGTCTGGACAGTTGCCCCTTGCACCAGAATGCCGCAGTCAGTCCCCTATAGCCAGCAGGTGGTGCCAGATGTGTGATCACAGATCGTCTACACACAGCTCACTGTAGAAGGGAGTTCCATACTCTTTCTAAGAAATGGTCACAGTATGTGGCTGTTTCTGGCATCTTTCCACACATTATCTCAGGACAACTTTGAAAACCTTAGTCTCAGTGGGTCCTCATTTCTGGGCTCATGTCTAGTGCTTGTACACAGTATTTCAGGTACCTCTGCCCTTTCCTTTCTTACAGAATCCTTTTTGTTGGTTTCCAGGTTGGCTGCCCTGAGGAATTAGCACACGCTTGGCAGGTGCTACCTCTCTTGTCTCATGATGTACTGGAGGCTTTGGCCTCACTCTTCGCTCAACTTTCTCCAACCTTTCATACCTGCCTTGGCTCTTCTCCAACCTGTCAGGCAGGGCACCTTACAACTGAGCCTTAGGTTGGGCAGTGGGCCTCTGTCCTGGTATTGAATTTGCACAAGTGTGTAGGTGACTCATGTGACTTGTGGGCCACAGCTGGAAGATGGCAAGCTCTGCCTGTATGGAGTTGACAGACAGGATTTGTTTGGCCAGCAGATGTGTGGACTTCAGCCCAGTGCTTTGGGGTCTTCAGATCGCAGTGAATACCCACCTGCTGCTGCTTGCCATGGCCACTGAGGGTCAGAGCCACTCCTTTGCCAGGCAACTCTTGGGAGCCTCTCCCCCACCTCTGCAGACGGGAAGTTCTGTTGCGTGACAGTCCTGAGTAGGTTCCTGTGGACCTTTTGTGCACCAAAAATGTCCAGTGCCACCAACACTGACCAGGGCCTTTGCAGATGGTTTCTCTCCTCCATCTTGAGTTGAGTTCTTGGCTACCACTGCCAGCTGGCTGAGTCTGCCTTGGCTTGTTGTCCTTCAGCTCCCTTCCCCAGCACACAGGAACAGAACTGGCACCAATTTCAAGTCCAGGTGTCCCCCTCCCCCCAAGAGATCTTTACCCTTCCTCGGCAGCTGCCTCTGGAAGGACTTTGGGCTGAGCAGTCTGCCTGATGACACCAGGCCACCAGTGGTACAGCCTTCCAGGCCATTTTAGAGCTTCTCGCTCGAGAGTGTGAGGTTCCCCCGGCTCTTCTGCCTTCTCCAAGGGAAAGCCAGGTTGGCTCACAAAGGTAACCTGGGACAGTCACCTTTGGCTGCAATAGCTCTTTTATATCCCTTTGCATCGGGGAAGCTGGCAGGAAGCAGGTAATGAGGCTGACTTGGGTGGCCTCAAGGCTGTGTGTACAGGCTGCTGTTTTATTTTTCTATCTCCTGAAGTTTACTCATGTTCTTAAAACTCCCGGTGATTTTGTTCTTTTGCCAAAGTAGAAAGCACACAGCAGATGGGGTGTGTTTGTCCCAGCCCTCTTCACAAGCTGAGCACTACAGTACTGCCCACAGGGTTACATGAAAACTTGGAGACTGTACCTGGCCTCCCTGTGTTTGTGTTTTTTCTGTTCTGCACTTTGGGGCCCCTCGGTATTCTACATTACAAGTTGATGTTGGGGGTAAGGAGGGCTGCAATTGTTGGCCCTGGGTGTGGGGACTAAGGTACAATCTAACTATGGGCCCTTCAGGCTCCCTGAAATCAACATGACAGGTGTTGAGAGTAGCTACAGTCTCTCGGGACAGCCTGTGAGCTCCCTGAGTCCTGAAGGGTGCAGGATTTGTGGCACACTAGTAGAGTTGGGGGTGCTGGGCTGGGTTCATCAAAATGGTGTATCTGCAGTTAAAATGCTGTTGTAAGTAAATAAACTGATTGTTGGAGAATTTCTCAAGCTTTGCTTTTATGTTCTGGGCGGGGCTGCAGAACTATGGGCTAGATGCTATGTGGATTATCCCGTGCCTCACTTCAGGATGAAATCAGGAATGGTGTCCCTGGATGCCTGGTTCCATGGAGGAAAGGGAAGCATGGGTGAATGAAGATTCTCAGGCTACTCATATGCAACCAATCAAGTCTATGATTTATCTTAGACATTAAAGTATTGAAATAAAGATTACTTCCTATTTGAGATGCCTCTTTCTGGCTTCTGAGCCCCTTCAACCTGCTCTCTTTGGTCTCAGCACATCCTGCTTCCCAGCTTACCCTTCAGTGCGGGGTTCACAGGCTCTTGGCTTCTCTGTCTTGGCATCCAGTCATCCCTGATTTCATTTTAAAGGGAACAGTGCTTAGAAACTTAGTGTGGGCCTGGGGGGGGGTGACTCCTTTGGCAAAGTGCTTGCTATAGAAGCATGAAGACATGAGTTTGGATTCCCAGAAGTCAAGTTAAAAAGCCAGGCATGAGGGAGGCAGGTGCTGGAGAGATGGCTCAATGGTTAAGAGCACTAGCTGCTCTTCCAGAGGTCCTGAGTTTAATTCCCACCATCCACAGGGTGAGTCACAACCATCTATAACTAGTTTATGGGATCTGATGCCCTCTTCTGGTATACATGCAGAAAAAAATACCCATATACACATAATACATAAATAAAAAAATTTATTTACTTATAAAAAGTAAAAAGTTGGAGAGTGGTTGAGGGCGACAACTGAAGTTAATCTTTGACCTATAAATGCACACTCATGCACACACCAAACAGAAATGCACTGCATGTATTACTTTACACTTTCTGAGACGTATGACAGAATGCCTGCTAGTGTTACTCTCTGACATTAGGACTGTATAGTAATACTATAAGAGCCAGCCTAGCTGCCTTCTTTATTTGTACCTTTAAAAAAAATTTTTTTTTTCACGTGCCTTTAATCCCAGCACTTGAGAGGCAGAGGCAGGTGGGTCTCTATGAACTCCAGACCATCCTGTTCTACATTCCAGGACAGCCAGGACTGATACAGAAACCTTGTCTCAGAAAACCAAAAATATTTTTTCTGTAAAACAGTCTCACCTCCATAGCTCTAGCTGTCTTGAAATTCACTACGTAGACCATAATGATCTTGAACTCATAAAGATCTGACTGTTGGGATTAGTGTCATGTACCACCATGCCTGACAATTTGAAACTTCTAAATTTTCCATTTTTGTTGTTTTGGGGATTTGTTGTTTGTTTGAGACAAGGGCTTGCTAAATAGTTCTGGCTGAACTGGAGTTACTTGGCTGGCCTCAAACTTGCATGGATCCTTCAGATTCTGATTCCTGGGAATTCAGTTTACAGGGATAAATAAACCACCATGTCCGGCTGCCTTTCTTTCTTTCTTTCTTCCTCTCTTCATTCCTTTTTTTCTTTCTCGTTTTTTGTTTATTTGATTGGTTGGTGTTTGTTTGTTTGCTTGTTTTGGGTTTTTGTTTTGTTTTATTTTGTTTTTGGTGATCTCGGGGCTGGAGAGGTAGCTGAGCATTTAAGAGCACTGGCTGCTCTTCTGGAAGCCCTGAGTTCAGTTCCCAGCACCCATGTGCCACCATGTCCAGCCTCACAATTTGGAAATGAAAAGATGGTGACCCAGATAGGAAAAGGGGAATAAATGAACAACTGTAAAAAGCAGGAAGAAGTTTCAGAACCAGATTAGCTGTGTCACTGCAGTGGGGGTATAGAGTGATTTTACTGTGTCTATGATTACTGTAGGCATCAGGAATTCAAGGTCATCCTTGGCTGCATAGTGAGTTTGAGGCCACCCTTGGTTACATGAGACCCTCACTCAACAACAACAACAAAATGATTATTTTAGGCAACTAAACATTTTCAGTCAGGGTCTTGCTGTATAGCCTGGGCTGATCTCAAACTAATCTTGCCTCAGGCCCCTGGGAGCCAGTGTTCTAGGCACATACCACTATACCTAGGTCTAGGATTATTCTGGGACCTTGGTTCCTTTATTTCCCAGTTGAGAAAATGAGGTGTAATACATTGGAAATACACCAGGGGGATCTTTTCCACTGCTTTGGTCAGATAATGGGCTCAGAAACCTTTAATAAGCATTTCCCCTTATACATTGATCCTATGTAGTCACAGGGTGTTACCCAAGACATTTAGACCAGACTAGAGAAGGATGCTGTTTGGTGGGCCATTTGTGACAGACACAGGTCCAAGTCATGTCTAGTGCTGATACCCACAGATTTGGGGGTGGGCAGGCCCCTGCATTTTCATTCATTGGTGACATGTGAAAATGGGTAGCCTGACACATGGAGGACTAAAAACCAACTTGAGGCTAGGCTCAGTTGGTAGCATGCTTGCTTAGCATGCATCAAGTTCCATGTTTGATCCTCAGCACCCTATAAACCAAGTGAGGTAGTCTGTACCTTTAATTGAGGCACTTAGGAAGTGAAGGCAGGAGACTCAGAAGTTCAAAATCATCCCATGGAGGACTTCCTAGGATACATGAAAGCCTGTCTCAAAAACTAAAAACGTTAAAGCTAGATGGATGGCCGGGCCCTGTGGTCAGCCACATAGGCTGTGCTTATTGTCTACCTACATTTTTTTCAGGGAAGGCAGATCTCAAATGGACAGAGATATAGGGCCATGGGGCTTCGTAAACTCAGTCAGTGATGTCCTTCACCTTTGTGGGTCCCCCTCAGAGCAGGTAGGAACAGGCTCTTAACAAAGGGACACCTTGCCCATGTCCATGAGGAGTGTCTCAGCAGTGTGGACCAGAAAGGCATGATTGGCTACTCAGCTATCCCTCACTAGTTTATTCACAAGACTCATTCTTGAATGTCCTAATTGGAAGGCCTGATCCTGTTTTACTAACAGTCATGCTAGGTAACGCATATGAAACCACTTCTGTCCTGTGAATCTGGAAAGACCTGCTGTTAGCTGTGTGAGACAGCCTTGGAGAGTCCAGGCACCCATCCCATTTGGATGCTACCCTCCAAGGCTGAACCGAATGCAGATTTCCTGGGTCCCTTTCCAGCATTACAGAATCCAAATAAACATAGGTATGTGTGATTTTAATATGGTATGTACCAGATTATGCGTGTCCATGTATGTTATATATGTGCATCTGAGTGAGTATATGTATGCGTATGGGCTGTGTGCACATGAGTACGTGTGGGGATGGTAGGTACTTGTGCAAGTGCTAGGGGGAGGTAGCCACTAGAACCTAGACCATGATTTTTTAAACTGGCCACTGCCTATGTAAGACCTTTTGCAGACATCTGGGTTCCTTCCAGTCCTCTAAGAACTCAGACACTCCTGCATCCCTGCTCACACAGGGCTCATTCTCATAAAATTTGTTCTCCAGATGCTCAGAAGTACCTCCCAGGGAGGTATACTGGCAACATACATACTCTACACTTAAAGGGGTCATTTCATTTATTGTATGCCTGTGTCCCCAGGTAAGTCCACTGCTTATTTGGGAAAGTGTGTCTTTGCATGGATAACATGGGCTCTTGGCTTGTCCAGTCTTCCCTGAACTCTGAAAGCACTAGTCCTTAGGATATTACAGAAGATGCAGACTGAAGAGCAAGGGAGTCAGAGAGGCCAGCAGGGCCCCTATCTGGAGGTGGATGCTGGGGGCTTGTGAGTAGCCGTAGTGTGTCCTGCAGGAGCCTTCCAGCTCATCCAGGGGAATAGGCTCTTCCTCAGGAACTTGCATGTTATTACTTGCCTGGAGACAGACCCAAGTTAGACAGCCAGCCTTGTGGATAGGGAAAGGGCAGGAAACCCAAATGGACACTTTCTCCTCACCTTTTCAACTTCCAAGAAGACCCGCATCAAGTTGTTAGCTAGTACACCTCTGACCTCTGTATCTGTCCAGTTCCTCCTGAGAAGCTCCGCTATCAGGTCTGGGTACTTGGAAACATCCTCCAGTCCCCTGGGGAGCCTATGCCAAGACCAAGAGGACCAGGCATTGCAGACAAGATACTCTCCAGGCATATGAAGGCCAGAAGAACAGGCTTGCAGCAAAATGCCCTGCACTGTACTCAGGATACACTTCCCTCCCATGTCCCATCAGCACACATCAATAGGATCATAACTCCATCATAGAATAAGATATCACTCTTACTCTGTAACCCCGTCATAGTCTCCTCCAAGCCCCACAGCCTCAGGACCTGCCACTTTCTTGATGTAGTCCAGGTGGTCTGTAGAGAGTTGCAGGTGTGGGTCCTAAGCAAGGCCCTCCCTCACTTGGTCACTGTGTGATCAAATCCACTTACCAGCCACGTGGGACAGGGTGGCATCCTTTGAACAGGACACATGTTTACTATAGAAGTTCACCATCACCAGACTCCTTGTGTCCTTCTGCTCAGAGAGGGGTGGAGAGTGAAAATTAGACAGGGCCCACCAGAGACAAAGGGCTCCCCTTTACTCCTTAAATGCCTTACCACCAACTGGAGTACATCGTCAGGTACATTCCGCCTGCTCCGACACAGGCTGAAGGCTGAGGAGTGGCTGAAGATAACTGGGGCCTTGGATAGCTGCAAAGCAGCCTTCATGGTGGCCACAGACACATGGGACAAGTCAATCATAACACCCAGACGGTTCATCTCCTTCAGCACTCTCTGAGGGTGGGGAGAAAGATAGGATTTGGTACACCTCATAGATACTCTGAATTTGGGACATGGGAGAGACAGTGCTGGATAGGTGATAATTAGTCCTTTAGTGTCTGGAGGTTGTGGGGGCACTCAGGGCATAGCATCCTGAATGCTCAGGGCTTCCAATGTACTCAACCCTGGAAACCTTCCTAGCTCTCTGTCCTTTGGGGACTGTGGTCCTTCCCCTTCACCTTCCCAAAGTCTGACAGTCCTTGGCTCTCAGCCTTGTCATCTCCTGTGTCCACCATCCAGTTGTCGGCCCTGAAGAGAAACACATGTGGCCAGGGAGCAAAGCAATAGTGTCACCCTCACTT